GAAATAACTGCTTGTCGTGTAGACGCGGACTGACGTTATTCCAAAATAACGCTGCTGTGTAGACGTACCCTAAAAGAGTCAAAGGGAAGGATTCAACCTATTGCATAAGCTAGGCTATCAGTAGATTAAAGCATTAAAAAATATTCAGATTCCTAGTTCCTTTTTACAGGCCAGAGTCATTTCAGCACCAGCTCTTTTAACACAATTCAACTTACAGATGCAACTTAAGGCAACCCTAAGGTACCAGAGTAGATTGGGTCCAATTCAGTTGTAGTAATCAGAATAGGGTGGAAAACTGCTTCTCTCTCCCAGGAAAACCGAGAGTGAAAGACAGACACACACCAACTCTGCCTCGCAATGTGAGAGAGACAGGTTCAAATTCCTGATCTGAATCAGGCTTTGCTGGCGTGGGGCTACCTGGTTTTCACCTGAAATGTCTTCCTGGGCTTGAGAACCTTTCCCAATGAAAGCTGAATCAAAACTGACCCTTTTTCACCAAAATGTTTGGTTTTGATGAACCTGCAGTTTCTGATGGAAAAAAAACCCTGCTCTGTCAAAAAATCCCTGATCAGCCCTACTACTAATTATGCAGGGGAAGTTAACAAAATTGCATTCTCTGCGACTGTGGCCCCTTATCTTCATGAGTTATAACCAGCCAATCCAAACTACTGTCTGTTGACAGTCCATTTTATTATTGCCAATATCCATATCTACACCTATGAACCTATATTGGTAATAGATAGAGGTATATGTTTTTATTCCCAGCTGTAATTCTTGCTTGATGATGGATTGCATTCCCAAAAGTTAGCATGCACCTATTCCATGAACACAGCCAGACTTCTGTACATGCCGACTAGGTAAAGAAATGTACTGAGGCTGGCTGGAAACTGAGCAAAAATAAAATACTCTAACTAGATTAGATGATAATTCATTTGATTAAGCTTTCCTTTCTAAAGGGCAAAAGATACTGAGAGATAAAACTTAAAATAACACCAAGGAACTGTTGACAAGGCATGAGCTAGAGTTGAAATGAATTTTTAAAGCAGATATTATACTTAAACTGTAATGCATAATATTTCACGTGAGACAGTGCAGGCTCATGGGTTGCACAGGCAACCTGAAGCCAGGAAATCTCATTCCTAATACTGACGGGCTGTGTTGGGACTGGAGTAAATCACTAAGTTCATGCTGCCTTGGTCCTTTCAGTATTTCAGTGATGCCTGTGGCAGGTTTGGAGATAATTTAACCAACAGCAAGAGACCACTTGCAGAGTACGTCTACGCTGCAAGTGAAAGAGATTGTCACATGGGCAGGCATCCCTGTGCTAGTATGGGTAATAACAGTTTAGACGTAGTGGCATAGGATTAAACATGGGCTAGCAACTAGAGCTTCCCCTGTCCACAGCAGGCCCCGAAGGCTGGAGCAGCACCTTGCCTGTGGGAGCTGTTCCAGTCCCACCAGTAAACTGAAACCGGTAAGCATCACCCATGAAGGGCACTGCTTTCAGGTAAACTAGTTAACCTTGCTCATCTCCAGTCCTGCAACTAGTTCCTGCGTACCTGTGTGTGAGAATCTGTACGAATCAACAGTAAATGTAATGCTGCCTAGAGTTCTGGAGAATGTGTACAACTTTACACTTCCTGCTAGGGTTGCCAGGTGTCCAGTATTGGCCCAGTATTTGCGGCTTCTGTCCTTTAAAAAAAAAAAAAAATCAGAAAAATACCAGACATGTAAAATGTGGAGTGAGTTAAAGGCACTCTTTTTTTGGTGCGGTCGTTTTTTTCTTTTCTCAACAAGTTTGGTCCCCCATTTTTTTTTTATTACTCAACAACTTTGATCCCCCCCCCCTTTTTTTTTGTTCAATCATTTTTTCCCCTGACATGTCGGTATTTTTTGTGAAAGTATCTGGCAACCCTACTTCCTGCCAAATACTAACCCTTTATAACACGGTCTCTATCTGTAGCAGTGATAGAAATGCCTCCCTGTCTATACAGGATGTTCCAAGCAGCGGCTAAGTTAATACTTCAAAACCCTTTGAACATTAAATGCAACAGATAAAGCCTCATTGTCACAATTTTGCTTGAAATACAAAGAAATGCTGAAAATATAAACAATACTAGCAGATGTACCCTGCATTGCTCGGATCTTTAACCACAGGGCTTTTTTTAATAAATGAAAAACGTATGCTGTTCCCCAGAGGGTGGCTTCTACCAGGAGGGGAGAATCCAGGTCTGTGCACTTGCCGGGTAGGGGTTGGGGCTCGGGGCCCTGCAGGCCGGTTCCAGCCTTCAATTGACTCCTTCTCCCTTGGCCGGCAACCGGTTGGGGGGCAACCTCCGACCTGTGGCTGCCTCCCCTCTCCCAGCCTGGAGCCTGTCGGGGAGAGGGGACACACCTGTACTGTGGCTGTCTCCCCAGACTGCTGCTGCTCCATGTGGGGTCTTGCTTGAGGCAGTGGTTCTCCCCTCATCCTGTAGCTGGTTGGGGGGCAGTGCTCTGTGGGCTGGCTCAGGCCTCCAGCTGCCCCGATCCTGCAGCTACGGTTGCCAGGTGTCCAGTATTGACCAGGACAGTCCGGTATTTTCGCCTCCTGTCCGGTAAAAAAAATTCAGAAAATACCGGACACCTAAAATGTCTGGTATTTTCTGATTTTTTTTCCCAGCCAGGAGGTGAAAATCCTGGGTACTTACCTGGTTCCGCAGGGGAGCTGTCTGGCCCAGTAGGAAGACAAGATAGCGGTCGGCCGCCGGCATCCTGTTAGGGCCAAAAAGCCTCAAAACCATTTCTTAAAGGGGCCACGCTGGATTTTTTTTATTTATTTATTTATTTTGCTTAATAACTCTTGGGGTCCTTTTTTTCCCCTCAACATCTTTGGTCTCCCCCCCCCTTTTTTTTCAACAGAATTTTTCCCCCGGTAGGGTTACCCCAAAA